GAACCCAATTTAATAACAAACTTATTGTTATCATCCAATTTTTACTTGGTCCCATCATCTCTCTCTGATTCAAAATATAGAAACACGACCAAATCCATCAAAACATGACAAAACCCCAAAAGTCATTTTTTTACACCATCCACACATCAAACACTTGATCAAATCACACCAATAAACTTAGATACCCCAAAACCCTTGGTATCCAAGTTTCACCTCTAAACACCTCCAAAATAAGAAAAGATACATTCATTTAAACTCCTTTAATCTACCATTAGATTCCCAATCAACAATAATGATCAAATTAACATCTTACACCATATGAGTACTCATATTCCAATTAGGCACAATCCCAAATAATTTAGTATACTAAAAGTTAGTCGCACATCAAATTTCATGACCTTTATTCATTAATGAAGCCATAAACTTCAAGGGTATAGATTCCCTACTAGGGGTGATCATTTCAGCCTGGTCCAGCCCAGAAATTCTGGGCTTGGGCCTGGGTTTTATGTTCAGGCCCGGCCTAGGCCCACATCAAGCCCGCAAATTTTAGGACCGGGTTTGGGCTTAATACTTCAAGCCTGGCCCGGGCCTGGTCCGGCCCACATATATTTAAACTTACACATTTTGTGTATAATGTATACGTATGTATACATGTAATTTTACATTATATTATATATTTTATATGTAAATATTATAACATGACATGTATAATTTATATTATATGTAACATTTTATATTATATAATGTATAAAATAAGTTTAAATGCATGTTATGTCATTTAATATATAAATATGTAATGTTTTATATATGAGTGACATTGGCCCAGAATCAGGCCTGGCCTGGCCCGGGCCCGTATAGACTTGGGCTAGAGCTTATATTTCAGGCCCGGGCCTAAGCTATAACCCTTATCATAATTGCAAACCCGGCCCATGATCACCCCTATTCCTGACTGCCTATGCCTTTGTAAGTACCAATTTATTTGACTATTAAAGCTTTGTCCCAATATGAAATCATACTTCAATTTCTTTAGTCCTAATTGACTAGGATTGATAAGGTTAAGAAAAAAAAGTGACTTAGAACATGATCAAGGAATTCATTTGATATATAATGTAATGTGTGTGTGTGAGTATAAGAAAAGTGTAAACAGTTGCTTGTAATTGATGTACGTCTGCATTTAATAGATTTACATTTACCTAAATCAGGTTTATATTTGTAAGTTTTAAGCAGTTTTTTTGTGTTTTGTAATTTGTAAATACTCAAATACTTGATTCTCTTAACCATAATTGAAAGGCATCCTAAAATATTTACCAAAATTTAGTGCTTGTTCAACAGAAAGATCCAAGCTGTCTGTTTTCAACGTGCTGCACTTGAAACTTGCAAGCTAAGAGCATGTTCACATGGTTCATACAAGTCCTTGTGGAAGGATATTGCAATTATTGGAATTGCTTATAAATATATCAAGAATGATGTTTTCATGGAGATGTTACATTCAATGTACATCAATTACAAGCAACTCTTTACACTTATACTTACACACACACTTTATATTATATATCAAATGAAATCATCCTTGATCATGTTTTAATGTTACTTTTTTTCTTAACCTTATCAATCCTACTCAATTAAGACTAAAGAAATTGAAGTATGATTTCATATTGGGACAAAGCTTAAATAATCAAATAAATTGGTACTAACAGGCATAGGTAGTCATGAATCTATAGCTTTGAAGTTTATTGGAATTACTTACAAAAGAGGAATTTAATGAAAAAGGGAGATGTTACAAACATTGACTATTAAGGGGAGTGGGCAGATAAGGAGATTTAAGAATGGTATTATTAGATAGTAAATATGGATGAGAGACAATAAAGACCCATGAGGATTTTGATTTTGACTTGTTATATTTTAATAATTTAATTTAAAAATAAATATCCTGTGTGTGAAAAAAGAGAAGAAGAGGTAGGTGTGAGCTCTATGGTGAGAGGACCCCTCACCTCTCCTTTCCTCTTTCTATTATATATATAGATGTCTTCCTAGTCTCTAATTAAGCTTTTGACATTCTACTAGGTGTGATTTTATTTATTCTTTAAGCAATTGATACCTAACTTGGAGTCTCCTATTCAAATTAAATCTTTATTGGTGTGTCACACAAGCTACCCATGTTCAATTGATAGTTGTGAAACCCTGTAACCTATCCTTGGGTTTGGGACACTACTAAAACAAATTAGCCTCTTTTTTGATAAATTTTTATTTTGAGTTTTGGGTTGTGAAAAACAATTAAAATTGAGCCAAAAAGTGTTTCATGTATTTGATAAAAAAATGTTTTAAAAACACAATATTCTAAGCCAAAACACTTTTTTCTTCTTCTAAAGGGCTACACAACTCCAAGGAGTAGGGGTAGCCTATCCCCAAACCCAAGTGCAAGTGGAATTCAATCCCAAATCCCCGCTACGACCAGCAGGTCGGGGCAGCAATTTTTTAACCCAACTCACCCATTAATTAATGGTTTGGGTTGTAACCATTTAATCTTAGTCACTAGTGGATTGGTTAACCCAATAAAGTTCTATTTAATGGGTTGGGTTGGGCTGGGTCAGGTTATCCAATTGGTAACCACTATTTCATACTTTCTACTTTTCTCCTCTCTCTCTCTCTCTGTTCATTTTAATTCTGCAACTCTATTCTCTCTTTCTAGCCTTTTTGCATTCAGCACTAGCTCTTCTATTACTAAACAATCCCATCCAAACATCTAAAAAGAATTGAAAACAACAATTAGAGCATGTGAAAACGAACAAATTTCACTCTTCCTCTTATATTTCTATTATTTTTCACTTGACTTACACAAGATTAGAGGTGTAAATTGGGCCATGTCGATTTACCATGACACAACTTTACAGGTTGCCCGTCTTTAGCAGGTCGTGTCGTGCCAGCCCATGGGCCTACGTGAATCGTGCCTACCTACTCTAAGATCCTTAATAGGTTAGGCCCGACATGACCCATTGTAGAAGCCTAGGTGGGCTCGAGTTGGGCTGGGCCTTGAGACAGGCCATAAGAGGCATATATTTTAAGAAAATTGAAAAAATAATGAAAATTTTTAAATAAATTAGCAAAACAGAGAAAAATTTGAAAAAAAACCTTAAAATTTTATTTTATACAAACTTTGATGTATACAATTGTTTATATATGAAATAATCGAGGTTCAAAGTATCAACATGGGCCAATACGTATCATTCCGGGACCTCTCAGATACGCCCCTACACTGGGTGTATCGGGGTTCTGACCGGTTCAGGGGTAGAGGAGACCTAAACCGGTTATGAAAAAAAAAAGTAAAAAAAAAAAACAGTATCGATATCGCCCAATACGCCCCTATCGACATATTGGGCGTATCGGTATTTTGAACCTTGGAAATAATAAAATAAAATTAGAAAATACAATACAATTGGAATAAAATTGAAAATAAAAATTTGTATATTAATATATTATATATAATTTTATAATTATTATTACATATACATATATGCATATATAATAATATCTAATAATATAAATATAAATATTTATGGATTGTGCCAGGCCATGTTGCGGGTTGGGCCGCAGGTCTACGCCAACATAGCCCACTTTGTCGTGTTGTATCGTGCTGCAAACCTGAAAATCCAAGCCCAACATGACCTGGAGGTATGGGCTGGGCCATAACATGGTCCGCATGCTACAGTAATGAGTTGGAGCCTGACATGGCCTGATTTATACCTCAATGCAAGTGAGTGAAGAGTCTTCACCAATTGGTGTTGAATAGACCTATTCATGGGCTGCATTCCATTGGATTTGGGTCGGGCTTTGCCTCTTTATCAACAAAAAATGTTTGGGCTCGAGTTCAAGCTCAACCCATGTATAAAGCCCAAAGCCCAATTTGAACATAAAAACTCTTATCTTTGGTATAGTTTTTGTTATTTTTATTTCTATGTTTGTTTATAATTTCTGTTATATTTTCCTATAATTTTTGTTATTTTTTTTATTTTCTATATTTATTTATAACTTTTGTTATATTTATTTTTATTCTTCTTGTTTTTATGTTTTCTATAATTTTTGTTATATTTTTCTGTAATTTATTTATATAGGATTAATGGGTTGGGCGAATTAAGTTGGGTTAAGACAGTTTTCGGTTGAACGCCAATCCATTAAAAGTTTCCTGATTGGGTCATCTAAGGGATGAATTGGGTTGGAGCTTAACCCCAACCGAACCCAACCCAACCTAGCCAATTGACACCCCTACCATCAGAAGACCTTACCAACCCGCTGGTTGGCACCTTGAAAGTGTAACCCGAAATCACGCACAAAGCCTAAACTTTGGGTCTTTGTGCTTTTGGGTTTTAAAAGCACAACTTGAACTTGTTCAAATGCAACCTCAGGTGTCATTGATTCAAACAAAATAAAGCTGTAAGCATCACTTAAATATTCAATTACAATTTATAGTTTTAATCATCCTGCTAGTTGTATTGATGTACCGAGACACTGAAAGGTTGATAGTTGAATGAAATTTGGCTAGGATATTATAGATTAATTGAGGTCCCCAATCCCAATCAACTAATACCAAACATGATATTGATGTTTTGAGAAAAACAAAACTTATAAATACGGCAACTATTTACGTTTTCAAACAAAGCAAAATCACAACATTTTGCCAAACACCCCATAATTGATCATTTCGTCTACTAGTACTGAACATAACTTATATTGATACCAACTAAAAGCAATTGAAAATTGCTTCAAGCTACCTCACTATACCTACCATGAAACATATATGCATCCGAGATATTTTTCTTTTTTTTTTTTTGGGTGTTTTAATAAATTACTCTGAAGTCTGAACTCTGAAGATAGGTGGTAAACTGAGCCAGCCACCTGTAATGGCGGAAAACATTGTAAGAAATATAGTTTATAATATAAATGCTGTGATCTTCACTTGTAACGCTCTGTTTTGCCCCACATTTACACCTGCACAACTTCTTACATACCAGTATCTTAAATGTATTAATTATTCTGGGTGGAATTTCTCATTAATTTATTCAAAAGGGAACTTACCATAATGTATGAACAGAAACACAATAAATTTATCATCAATCAATCAAGTCCTAACATCTCTCTTTGACCCTCATCGGCAGCCCTTCTTTCATCCTAAGTGTCAATGAGACCACAAGCTCTGGACACTTGTCCTTATCAACCACCTCCATTTGGAATCTCTGTATAACTGATGCTGTGATGGATTTCATCAATATATACGCCATGTCTTTCCCCAGACATATCCTCGGCCCGGCGTGGAACGCCGGAAATCTAAACGGGCTCTCCCGCCGGCACACACCATTTTCCAGCCATCTTTCCGGTTTGAATTCCAGGCAGTCCTTCCCCCATATGCTCTCCATCCTCCCCATCGCGTATGCATGGTACGTCACGAACCATCCCTTACCGACAAATGTACCGTCCGGCATGACGTCATCTTTCCGGCAGACCTTTGTGTCGAGTGCCACCGGTGGGTACAGTCTAAGTGCTTCGGAGAGTGCCGCTTGTAGGTACTGCATTTCTCGTAGCTCGTTAAAACTATATGTATCGTCGATCTTTTTCCCGTTACTAGCCCGAATTAATTTCAGCTCGTCTAAGATTTTACGTTCGACCTCTGGCCTGTTTGATAACAGCCAGAAGAACCAAGAAAGTGTTGTTGACGTCGTGTCTCTTCCTGCAAGTATGAAGTTTATGATGATGTCTCGGAGGAACTCGGGAGAGTTGGACTCGTTTGCAATGAAACGAGACAGTAGGTCCTCGTCGTTTTGCTTCTCCTCTTTCTCTTGCATTCTTGATCGGATGATCTTATCTGCAAAATCATGAACAGTTGATATGGCTGATCTTAATCTTTCCTCAGATCCTATGTTAAGCGCCCTCTTCATCTTCCACAAGTAGGGGAGAAAATAAAGGAACCTCCCTGCACTCAGCGTTGCTGCATCATTGAAGGCCTTCATGAACTCAGCGCCGGCAGTATTGTCGCCGCCGAGACAACCTGGATCAACGTTAAACGCCAATTTACAGACATGATCGAACGCAAAACGCTCCATGATATCTTGCATATCAACGACAATCTTCTGCCCACTGGCTTTTCTCAGCAGAGGAACCAACCTGCTGAGGGTCTCCTCATTCACAATGTCCATGACAAAGTTGCGAAGCGATTTTGTGCTGAATTCGGAGCTTGCCGTCTTTCGCTGAACCTTCCAGAGATGACCATCAACGTTGAAGATGCCACGGCCGAGGAAATCCTCCAAGTGAGACGTGAAAAGCTCGCCCTTTGGATAGTTGTCGAAGTTGTTCTTGAGCATGTGTTGGACATTTAATGGGTTTGCAGTCATAATGCCTCTGATATTTACAGGGCGGTGGTAGACAGCAGTGTTGGTGGGGTTGCTGGCAAGGATATCAGTGACCCATTCAACAAACCTGTTCCGGTTTTTGAAGAATTCCGGCAAGGACCCAAAGAACGGGTAGACTTTGAAGCCTACATTGGAGACGGCCTTCATTTTTAAAGGGTAGACATAGAAATAGAAATAAAAGTAGAATAACAGGAAGAAGAAGAGGATAAGGGACTGCACACAGAAGAGATCCATTGTGATTCTTGGGGTGATATGCTCTGGGTGGAGCTGCTTTTTATGCTGATAAAGAGATGGAGACACTTATTGAGAAGAAAAGGTAGAAATACCGCAATAAGTACTCATCCATGAAAAAATATCTAGAATAAAAAAGCTTACCATTTTTTGTTTGCTCTTTTGGGGCAGAATGGTCATAAAATGCTTGTTCTGCTAGCAATATAATCCATTTCCTTCCTTGTTAGGGCTCAAAGCCAAGATTTCCAACACAGTGGTAGTTGTGATTCAAGGCTTGCAAAATAATTTGAATAATTTGTGGGGCACAATTAATGGCCAAGAATATTGTGCACCGTCGTTGGATAGAGACATTCCTTCGTTAGCAACCCACCTTTCAGTGTGCTGGCATTGGCTAATCCGGTATGGCTCAGTGAAGCATTGTTGCTGCTCTGTATGCTGCCTCACATCAAGTAATATACCTTTCTTAGCAAATCACAGTGAACTCTGGTGTCTGACTCTGAGAAAGCAAAAGAAATAAGATAAAAGTGTGGCTTTAAATTCTGAAGAGCCAAGGTGTGCTACTTTGCTTTTCTATTCTTAATTTACTGCAGTTTTAATTGTTTGAAAAAACAATAATTTCTGAAAAGATACAAAATATAAAAAGTAAAAAATAGGAAGAAAATGGTTTACTTGTTGTAGCACTGGCACCATAAAAGGAAAAAGAAAGAAAGATAATGGTAACGAGAGAGAACTAGGTAGGGTTTTAGATAAAAGACATGGGCATTTATATGCAAGTGTGGAATCATTTTTTTTTTTTCAAAGAAATCTTATTGTCTTATAGGGGTGGTTTTCCCTTTCGCCAAATGGCAGCACTTTAATATATATATACCACCGGTTTCAAATGGTTCGACCAGTTCAGTTCAAATGAATGACCCGTTTTGACAATATAAATTATAAGCAAAATATTACGTAACTGTTCTGGCTACTGATTGTTTGGACGATTCCTAATTAAAAAAAATAAAAGAAGGCAATTCGACCATCTGGTTCAACAGATGGCCCCTTCTGACAATAAAAATTACAAGCAAAAACTTGAGTGTGTGAGGTCCATTAAACAGTATCATACATGTCATGTCATTTGAGCGTGTAACTCATATGACCCGAAAATGGAACCGTTTTGGACACCGATTTTTGGGTCAACGGTTCGACCATCTAGTTCGAACAGACGACCCGTTCTGACAACAAAAATTAGAAAATAATAAAAAACGGCCAAAAACCATTGAACGAGTCGACGGTTCGACCGCTTGGGTCAATGGGTCAATGATCGATTCAACAGTTTTTGGCCAAGGACCAGGATTGGGATAAAACGGAACCAGTTGCCTAGACGGTTCCCAATTAAAAAAAAATGGTCAATGGGTCGATAGTTCAACCGCCTGGGTCAATGGGTCATTGATTGATTCAACGGTTTTTGGCCAGGGACTGGGATTGGGGTAAAACGGAACCAGTTGCTTGGACAGTTCTAGGGCCAAAATGTCTATCTGTCCGGGTCAACGACAGTTCGAAAACCATGGTTTTTTGTATTGTTGGATTTTCACTATTCAAAGGTTTCTTCTACTGTTGGCTTTATTCGAGCGTGTGCAAAATGTTCTTTTTTTTCTCATTTTCTACTTTTTATTTGTGTTTGGTCATCTTCTTCAAGATCCTCCAAAATGGTCTAGGGTTTACCACCATTTTATTTCTTCCCTTTTGTTTTTTCTTTGGGTTTTCTTGTGTAGTGTTTTTTTTTTTTCTTACAAGACAATGTGCTTTATCTCTTTGAGTGCATGTATGTTTAGCTTCGTCTCAAAGCGGAACTTTGAACACGATTTTCTGATTTTTTTTCCTTGGGTTTTCCAGTTTGGTGGATTTACTACCATTTTTTTCTATGTTTAAGGTCACTTTGGATTAATCTTTTAAGGTTTTAGAATCCCTTGCAATGTCCACCCTTCCCATGACTATGACTATAAAGTTATTTCGTCTAATTATTGACATCTAGAAAAAATGACCCAGAAATGGAACCGTTCTGGCCACCAGTTTCTATGTTGACGGTTCAATCGTTCGATTCGAATGGATGGTCCATTTTGACAATAAAAATTAAAAAATAAAAAAAAACAAAAAATAAAAAATGGCCAAAAACCATTGAATGGATTAACCACCCGGGTCAATGGGTCGTTGACTGATTCAATGATTTTTGGCTAGAGACTGGTTTTGGGGTAAAACAGAACCGATTGCTTGGATAGTTCTCGGGCTGAACAATCCTAATGTTCGAGTCAGCTGGGAGTTCTTGATGTGAAACAAAGGACACCTATGAAGTAGGGCTCAGAACTATCAGTGTACAATCGTATTAATTCTTTTATATGAGATGCTTTGCTGGAAAAATATTTAAAAAACGAGCACATGATGATTTCTTTTAAGTCTTTATATAAGTTTCAAGACTTGGTACTTATAATTATAGGTTTCTTATTAAAAAACCATTATCTTTTTTAATGTAGTAAATAGCAATATTGCAATTCCAGCCCTTGCTTTGCAGGGGCCCTTCCGCTAGTATTGTTATTAAATGAGACCTAGCACAATGTTCCAAGGGGTGAAGGCCAAAGGGCATTCTTGACCACAAATGGGTAAAATTGGAATAAAAAATATATAAGCTACATCGTGTCACGTGTAAACAGATTGTGACGGCACATTCATAACGGGTTAGCGTTAATCCATTTCTTTCAAATTAGGGGTGGCTTAAGAGATTTTCCCATTCTTTTAATTATTTTTTCAAAATAGTGTTGTGTAAATTAATAAAACCTACCCTGTATTTTATAACCATTTTTAAACCTATCTTGTGTTTTCCAAATAGCAAAAACATCCCCCGAGGTTCCAAGTTCCAACCATTATGGCATTTAAATACTTTTGCTTTCTTTTTAGATTTACACCTGGGCTTCGTTTGGTTTGTGGGATGGGATGAGAAAAAGGGAATGTTCTAAAAATATTTCATTTTCTTTTATTTGTTTTGAGGGAAATAGAGGGATGGGATGAGAAAAATGTAGGATGTTAGATCCCAAAATCTTGGATTTGGGGTCACACAAAAACTGTGCGACCCCGGTGGAAAATTTTGAAAAACTAAGAAAACTATGGAGAAGATAATAGCTAAGACAGAATTGATAAAACTATAAAACCATAAGAAAGAGTCAACCAAAAATTGCAAAACTCAGAGAAGAAGAAGAACTTTTAATGGGAGAAATTCTTTCTCATAAACTTGTACAAAGAAAGGGCCGAAGGCTACAATATATATACAAGTTATGGGGCAGAAAAATAGTAAGTAAAAGAAAAAGAAAGTCTAACAAGATATTATATACCTTCCTAATTGTACTTTCCTATTATACACCTTCCAAATTTAGAGGGTAGGATATTATACACTTTCCTAATTGCACTTTCCTATTACTCCCCCTCAAGTTGGAGCATGAGGGTTCAAAATGCCCAACTTGCAAATGAGAAATTGAAATTGTCGCTTGCCAAGACCTTTATTGAACAAATCTGCTAACTATAAATGTGATGGAAGATAGCGCAGTAAAATTTCGCCAGAAAGCAGCTTCTCACATACAAAATGGCAATCTACTTCGATGTGTTTAGTCCTCTCATGGAAAACGGGATTGCTTGCAATGTGTAAAGCCACATTGTTGTCACAGAAAAGACTAGTGGCTCCTGACTACGGTGTTAATAATTCACTCAATAATCTCCGCAACCAGACTATTTCACTAGTAGCCATGGCCATGTCTCTATATTCCGCTTCTGCCAAGGATCTAGACACTGTGAGTTGTTTCTTGCTCCTCCAAAGAATAGGGGAAAAACCAAGTTGGAAGTACAAACCCGTTACTGATTTTCTGGTCAAAAGGCAACTTGCCCAATCGGCATTGTAGTATCCTCGCAATACCATATCATTCTCACCATTTAGCAATATACCTTGCCCTGGGCATCCTTTGAGATATCTCAGAACGTGCACCAGACCATTCGAATGTTCAACTCGGGGTTGCTGGACGAACTGGCTAAGCACATGCACAACATAAGTGATGTCGGGCCTCGTGATTGTCAAGTACAATAGTCGTCCCACCAATCTTCGGTACTGATTTGGATCAGAATGAAAACTCCCATTGGCGTATCCCAAACGGTGATTTTGCTCAATTGGGGTGTCTACGGGTTTGCATCCAGTCAATCCAGTTTCTTTCAAAATGTCTAGAGCAAACTTGCATTGATTCAAAAACAATCCAATAGTGGACCAAGCTACTTCTATTCCAAGGAAATATTTCAAATTTCCTAAGTCCTTTATCTTAAAACAACTGTTGAGATACGCCTTGAACTCTGCACACGTTTCTGAACTATTCCCACCTAGTATAATGTCATCAACATACACCAAGAGACCAGTTTCTAGAGGCCTGTTTTAGGCCGTATAGAGATTTTTGTAGCTTGCATACTACATTTGGTTTTTCGGAGCTGAAGCCTGGTGGGAGCTTCATGTAAATTTATTCTTTGAGGTCACCATGTAGAAACGCATTGTTTACGTCCATTTGATGAAGTTCCCATCCCTTTGCTACTGCCACTGCTAAAAAGACACAGACAGATACATGCTTTGTTACTGGAGCGAAAGTCTCTGTATAATCCTCTCCCCATCTTTGAGTGAAGCCTTGCACAACTAATCTTGCCTTGAAACGTTCAATGCTTCAATCCGATTTGTACTTAATTCTGTAGACCCATTTGCATCCGACCACTTTCTTCCCTGGAGGCAAACTCACAATTTCCCATATTTTGTTTTCTTCCAAGGCCTTAACTTCTTTGTCCATTGCCTTAATCCATCATTCATCTTTGACCGCCTGTGTGGTTGGCTCATCATGAAAATCGATGGCCGCTAAGAAAGCTTTATGAGTTGGACTAAATTTACTATAACAAATGTAGTGTGTTAGGGAATGGGCCTTACCTGCAGCCACCTTTTGAACTGGGTTCACGTTGGATGGTGGTAACAACGCGTCACACACATAGTCTCTTAAATATCCAAACCATTTTCTTTCTCGTTGAGGTCGCTCTGTCGCAGAACAGATTGCTCATTTTCGTTTCTTTGTGGTGTGCTCACTGTAGCTTGGTCAGACGCACCTGTTCCTTGATGTTCTTCCGAATTTGTTTCCTCATTAGTTGTGTGGATGCCTTCCTCATTTGCACCTATATGTTGGTTGTCATTAGCCCCAACAAGACTCCTCTTATCCCTAAACAGCTCGTTTTCATCTTCCACAATCACGTGCTCCCCCTCACTTGGAAGTCGTTCTCCTCTAAGTGCCTCATTGTTGTTGAAAGGAAAGACTTCCTCATAAAAATGTACATCTCGGGATGTAAAAATATCTCCTTCATCCAAATTATACATTTTCCATCCTTTCTTTCCATATGGGAATCCAACGAAAATACACTTCTCGGCACGTTCTCCAAACTTATCTTTTCCAATGCCTTGCCTTTTGGCATATGCAAGGCACCCAAAAACTTTAATGTGAGAGTAATTGGGTATTTTTCCAAATAACACTTCAAATGGTGTGTGACCTCCTAGTACATTGCTTGGAGTGTAGTTAATTAGATGAGCTTCTGCCATAACACACTCCCCCCAAAATTTCAAAGGTAGATTGGCTTGAAAACGTAAAGCTCTTGCCACATTGAGGATGTGTTGGTGCTTTCTTTCTACTCTCCTGTTTTGTTGTGGTGTCCCAACACAGGAGGTTTGATGAATGATTCCTTGGCTGAAAAAAAAATCATTGAGAGTCCCTAAGAATTCTGTTCCATTGTCACTACGAACTATCTTGATATCGACCCCAAATTGTCTCCTAACCATAATACAAAAGGACATGAAGACCTTTTGAGTTTCTGATTTATCATGCAAAAGATACACCCACGTAGTACGTGTAAAATCATCCACGATGGTTAAGAAATAATGGGCTCCTGAGAGAGATGGAGTATGATACCGACCCCATAAGTCACAATGTACTAATTCAAATGCACGTAAAGCTTTATTGTCGCTTAAAGGAAATGGAATTCGTGTCTGTTTCACACGATGACATATATCACAGTACTCAACATAATTACTATTACAGTCAAAACCACACACTTCAGATAAGTACGATAAATTTTTTTCAAAAAGATGTCCTAGACGTTTGTGCCACAATTCCTCTGTATTCTTCTGGGTGGCCATTGCATGAGCACTATGTGTGTTTCACAAATAGTATAGGCCATCCTTGAGATCACCCAGTCCAATCAGCGTCCGCCGGGTGGGGTCTTGTATTACACAAACATTCAAATAGTAAGTAATAACACAACCCATATCTTCACTTAACTTTCTTGAAGATATCAAATTACATTTAAAATCTGGAACATAAAGAACATCTTTCAATTTGATATGTCTGTCAATCATGATGTCCCCTATTTTATTCACTTTCAAAGAATCTCCATTTGGGATGACGACTCTTTCATCCCTTCCAGCCTCTCGAACATTCTCAAAGGCTTTAAGATTACTAGAAACGTGGTGTGACGCACCACTATTAATAATCCAATTTGATAAGCGAACCAAGGAAAATTTCTTACCAGACAGTGCATCATGGATCATGTTTTCTGAATCACTTGTACCCAACAGAGACATTAAACGATCAAGTTGGGCTTGCGTGAGGGACGACATCTGTACAGTATTGTTTGATGCTCCCACTTCTTCAGTGACAGCACCTACTCGGCCCTAGATGGCATTGGTCATTGCTCCTTTGCCTCCGCGATTTCCATTGCCTCATCCTCGACCATGGCCTGTTTTACCTCCATTTCGATTCTTCCAGTGTTCCGGGTACCCAATGATTTCAAAACAGCGGGATTTGTCATGTCCAGGTCTCTTGTAGTGAGCACACACTACGGGTAGATCAGCAGAGTCTCGCTCTTCTCTTATTTGACCCTTTTGATCTAATTTACCTTGGCTTGCAAAGGCAGCAGCTTGTATCATTGGATCTTCGCGCTGCCCTGCCTTCAATTGTAATTCTTCTCTTGATATCATGGCAAAGCAACGAGTGAGTGAAGGCAGTGGGTTCATGCTTATAATGTTTGATCTAACAGTACCATATCGATCATCAAGGCCCATTAAAAATTTATAGACCTTTTCATTCTCTCTTTCTTCCAATATATTGATCAACGTTTTGCACGTCGATCCGCATACACAAGTGTTGGTTTTAGTATACTGATCTAACTGATCCCATATTCCCTTAAGTTTAGCATAGTAATCTGTGACACTTAGTGACCCTTGCCTGAATTCATTTAATTCCCCTTTCAATTGATATATTCAGGGACCATGTCCTTGATGATACCTTTGCTGGAGTTCAATCCACAACTCTCTAGCATCATCAAAGGAAATTATAGTGTTTTGTATGCTTTTGTCGACACAATTAAAGATCCATGAAACAACCATAGCATTGCATTTATCCCAAGTATTCTTGTCAATGTCATCTGCCTTAGCTCTTTCTAGAGTCCCATCAATGAAACTCAATTTGTTTTAAGATTTTAGAGCTCTTTGAAAGGCCTTTTCCCAAATATGATAGTTTTCTCCATTAAGAATGATTTGGCTTAGAAGCATACCTAAACTATCAGACGAGCTCAGATAATACATAGACGTGGGATCACTGATCGATGGAATCTTGAAAGAGGTGGATGAGCTGCTGCCAGTCATTGCTTTAGACATGAGGTTACTCAAAATACGGCTGGATTGAAGGAGTGGCTCGGCACACACCGAACCTCACTGTTACGAGTCACACGACTCCTCTTCTTTGATGGGCACACACCCTCTGAACGGATCAGTGGTGAAACTCACCACGGCTCTGATACCATGAGAAAACTATGGAGAAGATAATAGCTAAGACAAAATTGATAAAACTATAAAACCATAAGAAAGAGAACCAAAAACTATAGAACTCAGAGAAGAAGAAGAACTTTTAATGGGAGAAATTCTTTCTCATAAACTTGTACAAAGAAAGGGCCGAAGGCTACAATATATATACAAGTTATGGGGCAGAAAAATAGTAAGTAAGAAAAAGAAAGTCTAACAAGATATTATACACCTTCCTAATTGTACTTTCCTATTATACACCTTCCTAATTCAGAGGATAGGATATTATACACTTTCCTAATTGTACTTTCCTATTAAAAACCACTATTATAGAAGCAGAGCAGATAAGCAGCGGCGACTTTCAAACCCAAATCTGCTACCTCCGTTCAAACCTAGAAGCAGAGCAGTGGTGGCAGCTTTTAAACCCAGATTTGCTACCTCCGTTCGAACTCAGAAGCAGAGCAGCGGCGGTGGCTCTCTTGAACCCAGATCTGCTACCTCCATTCGAACCTAGACGCAAAGCAGCGGCGGCAGCGCCGCTGCTTCTTCTTCTTTTGCTACCTCCTGTTTCGAACCCATATCTGCTACCTTCCCCGTTCAAACCCAAATCTGCTACCTCCCCTTCCTCCCTTTCTCCTCTCTTCTTCGTCACAGTACTTTTCCCATTTATTTCTCATATCTAAAACGAAACAATGGAAGTATAAATTTTTACACTTTCCCATCTCATCTTTTCCCATCCTACCCAAATTTTCCCACAAACCAAACGGAGCCCTAGGATTGCCAATGGGTCGAGTTTGTCTTGACTTACCTAAACCAATTGGACTGATTTTGGTTTCATGACCTGTAATGATGGGTCAAATTAAGTTCCTAATTTATCATCCCAATTATATATATTATCATTTCAGAATGGGTTCTACCTAGTCTTGAATCAGCTTAGACCCTACCTGAGCTATATATTAAGCGTATAATATATTAAATAAGTTATATATTTTAGGTATATATACATATATATTAATATTTTAAATACACTAGTATATAAATATTTTCAACAAGTTTATTATTATTGGGTCTATCGAGTCAGACCTTTTATTAGGTTGACGCTTGAAACATAACAAATATATATATATATATATATATATATATATATATATATATATATATGTCATACTCTCTAAAACTTTAAAATACCTAATGTTCCCTTATTTGACAACGTAGGCACGACTCTGTCCCCTCCATCTTGTTTGCTCTATCGCCAATTCGCCACTACATTGTAGAAAAAATCTCATAACAATAAAATTGAAAGAAGGATTTGAAAAGCAAGAAAATCTTATTTGAAAACGTAGGCACGACATTTGAAAATCTTATTTGAAAATCTTACTTGACAACGTAGGCACGACTCTGTCCCCTCCATCTTGTTTGCTCTATCGCCAATTCGCCACTATATTGTAGAAAAAATCTCATAACAATAAAATTGAAAAGAAGGATTTGAAAAGCAAGAAAATCTTATGCAAAATGTTTATTGACGTTTTTTGATAGATAGACACCACATAGGCAGATATCTATATATTTATATCTATATATTAAAATAAAGCGGTCAAGAAATTTTCTCCTTTTTTTGAATTTTTTTTATTCCATATCATTTTTGAAACAACCAATGAGATGCACTTTCTCAATAACCTAAATAATCTTTTCTCCTAAAATTACTCTTAAACTACCTCCCCCACTTTCTTCAAAATTATCTGTAGCTAATTCCTATTTATCTTCAAAATTATCTCTAATTCCT